GACTATTTGCCATTTTTTTTAATAATATCAAGTGACGGGACGACAAGTCGTGCGCCTGATGGTAAGCTAAACGCCTGTCCATAACAGTTGCAGTGCCACTTCTGTGTGGCACTGCAACTAAATCTAAATCGCTTAGATAAATGATAGTGACGGAGTGAAGATATTTGTGTTTTCCATCCGTTACTCTCATGTCTGGACTGTATTCGCACTTTCCATCAGGCGCGGTGCAGTCATTTTGCCGAGTCACAACAAAAAAAAAGTCTGAAGGGCACTGCTACTGCGCCTGTCACCCTGAGACATAATTTGACAAGTCCCATGTGCCCGTAATTCACCAGCACCTTGTCATTCAAAACCGGAACACAGTAATGCTCACGTTACTGGTTGGTGGCAGAAACAGGTAAGGTGGCAGTACCTGCTTCCTTGGACGGACGACACGCGCCGACGCGAGACATGAGCAAAAACACATTGTTCTGTTGTCATACAATTATCTGGACGTATTCCACAAAAAATAGAGAACACTTGGTGATATGTGGAATTAAACTTATGAATTTCTCACTCAAACTTGTAGTTGGTACTCTTTAGAGTGCGGGGTAGATTAATTTCTTCTCTGCTTTTTAACCTATATATGAACAACCTTACCGAGAGGCTCAGCAGTATGCACGTGGATTGTTACATCGACGAACATTGTGTCAATAACATCAGTTACTCCGACGACATGGTGCTGCTGGCCCCCTCGATAAGTGCTCCGAGGAAGATGCTTTCCTATTAGGAGTCATCGTGAGGGTTCATGGTTTGAAATACAATGCAAAGAAGAGCGAAGTTCTCGTATTTGCCACCCGTGTGTGCCACCTGTTGTGCTGGATGGGGTAGCTCTAAATGTTGTACGTACATTGGTTTAAGTATTTAGGACATATGGTGATGAGGGATCTCAGGGTTGATGAAGATATGGAGCGAGAGCGTAGACCGCTGGCGGTGAGAGGCAATATGCTCGCTCGCAGATTCGCTCGTTATAGTAATGGAGTTGAAATAACTCTATTTAAAGCATTTTGTCAATCGTTCTACTCGAGTGGTCTGCGGGTGAGATACACGCGTCGCGCCTTCAAGTCCCTACGGATGCAATACAATAATATGTTCAGGATACTATTGCGTGTACCGCGGTGCTGCAGCGCGTCAGGCGCGATTGCCGTCGCCCGAACGGACGGTTTGAAACGGCATCGCCGATACATCGCCTGCGGCACAGTGAAAATGGTGTTCTGAAGATGATTGTGTCTAGATCTAATTGACCTGCCCAGACGCAGTGGACAAAGGTGGTTGTAGGAATTGAATAATATTGAATTGTGTAATAATGAATTTAATTTAACTCCATCCCTAATAATTTAATTAATAAAATTTCATTCTGTAATTTTTTATACCTGTTTAAAGTAATTCTGTAATAATTAAATTTGTAAAATTTCTTTCTATAATAATTTAACTGTAAACATTTTTATTGAGTAAAATGTAATTATTACTTATTGTAATTAACACTATGTGTCAAAGTGACTTGAAATAAATGTATTATTATTAAATTAGAAAACATATTGCGATCTTTTTACTTTCCCATCTTGCCACAAGTTCGGCTGCCCCAGAGCAAAACCTAGTAAGTGCTTTATACAAAGTTTACCAGGAGAGCCAAAAAACACAAGTCAAAGTTGCCTTAAAACAATTTTCCTTTAAATGTAAAAAAGTAATAGTATTAGGTACGAAACCATGATTCGTTGATACGAATGTATTGATGTCACAAACATGATTATATCTCACATATTACATATTTTATACCCATTACTAACACTGAATATTTATGTGTGCATACATAAGTAAAGTTACTGTAGCAGCAAGAATCAAAACTCAATATGAGCATTTGTTAGATATTTGGTTATTGCACAAGAAAATTTGGAATAAACTTTGCTTTTGGTTGACTCATTAAATTAATAAAACAACTAAGAATTTCGGTATTCCGTAACTTTACTAAGTTATTATTCCCTAATATACAAGATCATAATTTTCTTACATTTTGGTAAATTAGTTAGTAATTAGTTTTGGTAGTCGTAGTTACTGGCGTCTGGCCAGAGCCGTTGCGTCGAACTTCTGCCAGCCCTCGCTGCCCCCGCTGAGATATTCTGACGGCAATCTAGCCCACAAGCCGCAAGATAAAGCCGACCTCTTGGCAAATCTGTTTGCGGCTAACTCCTGTCTCGACGACTGTAACGCACAGCCACCAACTCTACCTCACTGTGGCTACACGATGTCTGATATTCGTATCAGACAATGCGATGTGCGTACGCAGCTGCAGTCTCTCGACGTCCGGAAAGCTAGTGGTCCTGATGGTATCCCAGCGATTGTACTTAGGAACTGCGCAGCTGAGTTGACCCCCGTGCTAACGCGACTGTATCGTCTGTCGCTCTCTTCAGGTCGTGTGCCGGACTCTTGGAGAGAGGCTAATGTGCAACCAGTTCCCAAAAAAGGCGACCGATCAGACCCGCATAATTACCGTCCCATAGCCATTACTTCCATAATATGCAAGGTTTTAGAGCGGATCCTTAACAAACAACTGACCCAATACCTAGAAGATCACTCCATAATTAATGATCGGCAGTATGGGTTTCGTCCGAAACGATAAACGGGTGACCTTCTAGCGTACTTATCGCATATTTGGGGTGAGGCTATAGACAAACGTGGCGAGTCGTTGGCTGTTAGCCTCGATATAGCCAAAGCGTTCGATCGGGTCTGGCACAAAGCTCTTCTCTCCAAGCTCCCGGCGTACGGTTTGCCAGCCCAGTTATGCAGCTGGATTGCCGATTTCCTTCGTGAGCGGAGAATTCGCGTCGTTTCTGACGGCAGCATTTCGAGGTTCGTGAATGTGAACGCCGGCGTACCGCAGGGATCCGTCCTATCTCCCACGCTTTTCCTTCTGCATATCAATGATATGCTTCCTCTTGGGAATATTCATTGTTATGCAGATGATAGCACTGTTCATGGGGGATATCATGGATTCCCCGCAGCTGGGCGCGCCGATACTGACAGAGAGCGATCTGATCTTGTCGTTGAGCTCAATAGAATATTGGACCTTATCTCTGCATGGGGATCCAGTAATCTTGTTGAGTTCAACGCCAAGAAAACACAGGTTTGCGCGTTAACAACAAAATTGTCGCCGTTCCTTCCCATGCCTTCTCTGATGAGCACAGCACTTTCACCTCAGAGCAGTTTTACCTTGCTCGGTATGGAAATCTGCTGTGATTTGAATCCAAGGAGCTATATCGAATCTGTGATCAAAACAGCCTCACGGAAACTCGGAGTCCTGAACAAGGTGCGACGTTTTTTCACGCCGGACCAGTTATGCCTGCTGTACAAAACACAGGTCCGGTCTTGCGTTGAGTATTGTTCGCACTTGTGGGACGGCTCCGCCAAGTACTTACTCGATGCCTTGGATAAATTACAGCGTCGTGCTACTCGAATCATAGGCGACGAAGAGGTCTCATCACGCCTTGAACCTCTGCAACTGCGTAGAGATGTTGCATCGCTTAGCGCCTTTTACCGCATGTACCATGGTGAGTGCTCTGAAGAGCTGTTTAACCTCATCCCCCCTTCCCCGTTCCTGCTCAGAACTACGCGTGCTGGCCTTCGTAGTCACCGTTTCACTACCTGCCGAATTCCATCGCGTACTAAAAGGTTCGGTGGCTCCTTTCTCTGCCGCACGGTTGACAAATGGAACTCCCTTCCGGCACATGTCTTCCCTCCCTCTTATGATATGGGGTCCTTCAAACGAGGCGTGAAGAGGCATATTGTAGGCAGGCAGGGTGGAGGTGGCTAGTGCAGTGAGGATTCCATCGCTGCACTAGGTTCCTTCGCGTTTGGATACCACTTTCCACTTAACATCAGGTGGAGTGGAGTCATTTGCCTGTCATGCATAAAAAAAAAAAAAAAAAAAAAAGTTTTTATGTGTTCAAAGTGGGACCCACTTTCTTTCATACATAAATTAGTCTTTTGAAATTAACTTCGTGTAGCCTTGTGCAAAATGTTGTTTGTGGTGTGTGCTAATAATTACATTTTGTACCATAAGCCTTAAATGTTCTAGTCTCATGAGACTTGTTGTACCTACACAACTGCTATATATATTCTCGTTTATAAATGGGTAATCAAGTATTATGTGTAAGTAAACATAATGACGTGATTCGCGATAAGATCAATTGAATTTAGTATTATTATTTAGTATTTAGTTTAGAAGAATAACATCTACATGTCTCCATGTCAAAATAGTGAAACATTAAATCGTGTGATGAAATAAACCGTAACGTGTTTTCGGACAAATGAAACAAAATCTATTCATTAAAAATCTAAAGGTTTTCGGAGAAACAAAATTCTATAAATCATGTATTGTTTCTAGCTTGTGATAGGTAACCACAGAACAGATTAAGAACTGCGGACATAACCAAAAGCTCATTACTGTCACCCCACTACGCGTTACACAAATTTAAGCACATTTTGAATCATAGTCAATATCCACAATTTAAAGTAGTGTAACCATCACATGCAAAATACAAGATAGTCAACACTCCGTTAAAACCACAGAACAATAATATAGCCAGTCAACTGCAGTCCGAGGTACACACTAAGAAACGTAAAACTCATAGATACTAATCTAAGTAGTAACCAAGCAGATATCTTTTCTTTGTCTTTAGTAGAGTAACACAACAGATACTTGTGACAGACAGACAGATATTTGTGTGGATGTACTTTCAATATTCATTTTAAAATGTATGTAGTTAAAGTCAACAACAACAAAATGTTAAGTATCAACGTATTGCTCGTATAACGCGTGAGGCCTATAATCCGGAAAGAATTAATCTTAGCATTATGTGGCAAACGAGTTTTTTGAATCAACCGGTACGCAACGATTACCAGTGGAAAGTTTTCATACGTGCATAAGTCGTCACACCGCAAGTTGTATAGAAGATTTCACTCACTTGAAAAATGCTCGGAAGAGACTCTCATCCTCGATCTGCACGGCCACTTCGGCCTTCTCGGCAAGCGGATCAGCGTCTGCGGTGAGCATCTTCTGCAGTGCGGCTTCGGGAACGTGCCGCTTATTGACCCGCGCGGCGCGCCGTACCGCTGCCGTCGCCTCGCGCAGGCGCCCACGCGTCACCAGCCAGCGCACGCTCTCAGGTAACAACCACGGGTACGCCAGTAACAAGAAGGACGGCGGATACGCGATGCGAGCCCACACACGCCAGTAGCCCGCCATGTAGTCGAGCAGCGCTAGAAGCGCCGCGCCGCCCGCCAGCGGGATGCCCAGGACTAGGCTCGCCAAAATTCGCTGCTCCACACCTAGCCATTCGATCACTGGAAAAGCAACCATATTGCTTACTCACAATTCAACACTGTCAACTATACGTATGTAGACGACGAGACGAGAAGGGGAACTCACTCAGCACGAAGGCAGAAGGGTACACGCTGGCTCCGAGCACGGTCTCGATGAATTCAGCGAATAAGTACGCGTGGTACGAAGCGACGAAGGACTTGCAGAGACCCAGCACACCGGCGCCAACGCCACTCGTGATCAACGCCGCGCGACGACCGTACCTGTCCGACACGTAGCCCATGATGGGTAGCGAGATAAGCATGCCTACGTTGTGCACTGTGCCCACCAGAGACCGCTTCCACTCCTGACACGCCAGGTCGAACTGAAATGATAACATTAATATTTCTAGACAGTCTACAAAATGTTAATTATAGTAGCTCATTTGTTAAGAGTTTGGTACCTCGGGAACGATGCTAACGTGAAACTGGTAAACATAGTTGTCACATTCCTGTCTCGTGGTATTGTCGAAGGAGTGCGGATGGCAGGCGGTGTCGGCGTCGGCCGCGACGAGTGCGCGCGGGCTGTGGCGGCGGCAGGCAGCGTCGGCAGCGCTGGCGACCGGTAGCGCCCACGCTGCCCAGTCGGGTTGCCACTGCTCGGGGGGCGGGGGCGGCGCCCCGTGGCTTATGTTGCCCTCGCACTCCGGTACGTGGCATCTGCA